TTTATTTAATTTCAAATGAGATATTTAATATCTTTAATGTACCGTACGTACCCGTACCCCGTTCTCGACCGTTTAATCCTGGCGACTTATAACGTCATTGCCGAGTGGAAGGATTAAAACAGGTCTTAGGTCGGGAAGGCGGGTACAAAATTTATTTATTAATTATTAGACAACAGCAGTCATGAGAGTGAGTAAAAAAGTGAACACGAAAAGTTGTGCTCCTTGGTTATATATTAGGGAAAATCTTGCAAAGTAAAATCCGTAAAATGTCTTAATTTAGTGAAAGAGGGAAATCTTAGTAGTTGCTATTGGTTTATGAAATAGATCGAATGTTTCCCACACAGAGCAAAGGGAAATATGTCCTGCTTTTAATTAAATGCATACTTGAGCCGAAAATAGATTTAAGAACAGGATGTGGCTTTTAAAAGTGTGAGAAAGTATTTCGATTAGAATAATTAATTAGTAATAAAGTAGGAGTTGTTTTATAGCAAAGAAACTAACATAAAAAGATTAATTGGAGCTTTTTATGTTACATATATATATGCCAATATACTGCCCACTGAAATGCAGCAACAGAATTGAAATTTGATGTGCTGAAATAGTCTTTTTTATTTTTAAGTTTAACTGTTTTATTTATAAATTCTTTTTTTTTTAAAATTTTATACAGTTTAAAAATTATTGCAATTTTAAGCGATGTTTTCGTGAATTTCTTTACACTTTGCTTGCTTTAAATAATGCTTCCTAGCACACTAAAAAATTGGTTTTTAAAATTAAACCTTAATAAAGCTTATAACAGAATACAATAAATATCAAATTTTGTAAAAGTAAGAAACTTAGTATTAAATTGAATTAAAATAGTTCTTATTTGTCCATAGATCAGCCACGTCGGTGGAGAGTCAACTGCCGTTTCCAAAATTTCTAGTGAACAGCAAGTAAAAAACTAAATTAACCTTTTTGATTGATATTATATCAAAAATACTCTAATTTAAACCAAAATATATTTCAAATTTGAATGCATTTCTAAATTCAGATTAATTGCCTGTACCCTGAGTAATAGGCCGTGGTTGTGAACAGAAAAGTACCAATGAATTCTTCCAAATGGCAGTATTACATAATTACAGTTCATGAACCTCTTATCAAGGAGCCATTTTGTTTTAAGACACAAAGTTAAACTTTTTGTTTCATTACTTTTGGCAATTTTAGTTAGGAATAGTCAATTCCTTCACCTCTGTGAACCTCATAGAATTTACAGGGGTAGGGTACTTACTTATGATTGGGTCACTTATTTTTTCTTACATCAATTACACTTTTGCTGTTTTATAGTTTTGTATATGTTACCGGCAAAGTATGAAACGCCGGCATATGCCTAGGCATTCTATATAATGGCGGACGTTTTTAGGCAAAGTATGAAATATGAGAAGTATTACATACTTTCCCTAGGCATTGTTTATATATAATGCCTGGCCTAGGCATTCTATAGAATGCCAAATGCTATTTAGGCAATTTATGAAATAAACGTCCTGATGAGGCTATTATGCAAATTATGTGCATGTTACTGTGAATGACCGAAATCGGTGGTTGTTGACTTTCACCGGTAAATGTTGACAATCACATAGTCGCTTTGGTGAATGTCCGAAATATTTATTACATCCGATTTGATATTAATTTATTCGTGGATATAATTACATTTATTCGATATTTTAATACTTACTGACGATAGATTAGAAGAAACATCAGTGTTTGGAGTATCGGGCAAATGTATACCGGGCAGTGGCACTGAATCTTGAAAAAACATCAGTGTAGGGTATACCGGGCGGTGTCACTTAACAAGACCTAGTATATATTTCGGACATTTACTAAAGGTCTAGTTAAGTGCCATTGCCCGGTATATCCTTCACTGATGTTTTTTCAAGATTCAGTGCCACTGCCAGGTATAAATTTGCCCGATATTCCAAACACTGATGTTTCTTCTAATCTATCGTCAGTAAGTATTAAAATATCGAATAAATGTAATTATATCAGCGAATAAATTAATATCAAATCGGATGTAATAAATATTTCGGACATTCACCAAAGCGACTATGTGATTGTCAACAACCACCGATTTCGGTCATTTACATAATAACCTCATCAGGACGTTTATTTCATACTTTACCTAACTAGCAAAAATTCTATTGAATGCCTAGGCAATGTGTGTAATATAAATCATTTCATACTTTACCGGCTAGTTTTAGGCATTATATACAATGCCGGATTTTATACTTTGCCGGTAACATAGATATTAAACTAATTGTCCCTTTCCATACTACACATACCCATACATAAACCAGAGATAGTTAACTTCCTTTGATTAGAGTGCCAGTTAAATTACAATTTATTTTTAGGTAACCAATGTGCCACTTCTCATATTTCCTTTTAAAAAATAATTTGTAAACCATTGCTTTGATTTTAAACCAATAAAATGACATTAACTATATTTGCTGCTTTGTAATTAACGTGCTTCAAAATCGTAACAAGCAGTATTTTAAAATTTCTAATTTGATTTGTTGCACTCACATAGTCTTTCCAACAATATGGATTTTCATAATGGAAGGGGCACTAGTCACCCTTGCATCTTGGAAAATTTCAAAATGATATCCAAAATCGTACTTCGTTTTCGAATCTGCCGTGGTTGGTCTCTAATGTCTGATTTTTCGTTAATGTTGTCATCAGTGAATGTAATTGATTCAAAGCAATTTAATATTAACTTTAATACTATAATCATACTAATTGTGAGCCCAATTAAAAATTCCGGAAAATTTCCTGAGTTAACTAAAAGAAGAAAAAAAGTTTAAATTGAAAAAAATTTAAACAAGGTTTTTTTTCTTCCTTTTTCTTAATATTTCTCAGTTTACTTAAAATATATTTAAAATTTTACACATCATACCTATGATGACCTGGAGAAGGAATTAAAATTTACAAATATGTCTTTCTTCTTTGAGTTTATGATTATAACAACTATTTACTGATAAAAAAATGAATATTAATCATGAATATAAGCTTATAAAGTATCTCTCTGGCTCTCTCCCTTACAAACAAATAAAATAAACCATGTTTTTAAGTTCCACCTTTGAAAATTTGATTTCCGGAAACTTCTGATCATGAATTTTTTTAAACTTCTGGATCACTGTTAGCGAAAAATCCAGATCTTTTCCGGAGCACAATCAGCCCTGCATATAAAAAATTTTTGGTCGCTACATTCGAATAAGCCTCCTGAGGAGAAACACAATTTCCACTGTGCTTTCTTTTAGAACTATATTTATTGCGGTTTGCAGTTCCATAAAGTTTCTTGGCTTAAAAGTTTTTCATCTATTTGAAAATTAAGACAAACTAACGTACTTCCTCTTTCCATGACAATCCACAAGTTAATGGAAAAAAAACCTGCGAAATGTTGCCATAGGTCGAGAGTTCTGCTCTGTGTCACCTGTAGCCCACTTCGATCGCCAATACTAAACATTGATGACAATAGTAAGTGGTTAAGGGAAATAAGGAAGAATCAGATATGCAATCAACAAGCAGCTATTTCTTTTTTCTAAGTGTACCCTACAAAACTGGTTTGCTGAAAATAATAAATAAGTATATGACCCCTGAATTCATCCAAATTAAAATTAGATACTGTATAAGAGAAAACATTTTCGTTTTCAAAAATTGACTAGATTCCTAAAAGGTTTAAGATAATGAATCCTGCTGGTAAGGTATAACCGGCAATTTTTACCGGCTTTATTAACTAATAAAAAGATGATGAATGTTGGATCGAAAGCCTAAATCTACCGATAATTTTAAAATCTGTATTTGTATTCATAGAAAATGGAAAGTTCGGAATATTTACAAAAATAAGATCTGGACAAAAAGCTAAAAACAAAGACAAATTTGAATAATAAGGACTACTGCGAATCTTGCTGTTTACAGCTAAGTGGACGGACCAAATCAAGAAACTTGGGTTTAATTCTAAAATTAGCTTATATATTTTTAAATGCTTAAAAAAAGAAAAAAAATACTGTGCGACCCTGAATCTTGTCAAATCAACGTTGATTAAAAAAAAAAACACAGAAACAGATCAAATTAATAATTTAAGAAAATAATTAAATTAACATTTGTATAAAATTTAAAGTACACTTAAAATACACATATTATACTTAAATTAAGCATATTAATAGTAATCCTTGAAATATTCACAATATTAAGATAAAAATTACGAGGCAATACATTATTCTAAACAAATCCATTAGTTCCCTGAAATTTAAAGTAAATTTAGCTATGAAAAACAGATTAACCATAAATTGATTTATGGCCTTAATTACCTAGCTCAAGGAACAAAAAACAATGAACCATGGGAGTCCTACAGTAAAAACAAAAACACGCATTATACAGGGCTTGAAATTAATGGAGGTCCGAAACCACGAAAATTTAACACGGACCAAAAACGTAGTGTAAGGTCCAGCAATTTGTGTAAAATTATGGTAAGCTAATTTGGTTTCATATTTTGATCAATGTTTTTGAGCATATTACATCAAAAGCGTGACTTCATACATTCGCTGTATTGTAATCTTTCATTTAAATTCACTTTAAAAAAATCTAAAAAACGGCAATATAAAAAATTCATACAGTTAGTTATTAACTAAATTTTCTTAATTTCTACACTTGTCAAATTTTAAAATGTCACTTTTAAGAATGATCTGTCACTTACAACTGATACAGTAGGTGGACTGCAATAAATGTCTTCAGCCTGAGTTATAAATAAAATTGTGACAAAACACTCATTTTGATTGAATAACAACCATTTAAATAAAAACAACAAGAGATAATTTTTTTTACCTTTTAATTTACAAAAAGACCATTTAGATGAAAAGGGGAACATTTACATTGAAGAACAAGAATGAATCTGACATTAATAACTATTTCACAAGAGCTAGCTCAAAAAAAACGAAACATATATATACATTTACACAATACATTACAAATTTAGCTGGTAAAAATCAAATTTATAAATAGCACAGGAAATCATCATCACCACATTACAGTTCAATTAAAAGTGTTGTTTACATGATAATGGAAAAAGTATGATACTAAAGAATAAAAATGACGATCTAGTCTAGAGATGACCTCTTCCCCTATAAGTGTTTCATCAGGTGATTTGCAACTGTAATGCAAAGTTTATGAGCATTCATCACCAATAAATATTCTCCAAATATACCCCCACTACTCTTGGGGTGCCATAGATTTAGCTTGCGCTCGAACTCTCTTTTCATATTCCAATCGGTTCTGACTGTAATTGAATAAATATATACATAAATCCAAAATAAATCATAACACAACATGCAATGGAAGAAAAAGATATTCCAATATTGTAATCAAAGATTTTATACAACACAAAAAGAGAGATTAGATCAGAAGGTACAAATGAAATAACAAATTTATTTTGAATTAGTAATTCAAAATTTCTTTTATTGGGGAAGGCAATATAATAAATGCATTGACAGGTATATTTCTTCCATACAAATTAGTCTAAAACAAAGATTCATTATAAATCTTTAAAAACCAAATGTGCTGAGAAAGAAAAGCCCAATATAACACAAGTTAATTGCAAATTATCCAGCCTAAGTAAAATTAAGCAATATTTCGGCTTTCTATCAGGATAATGAAAAAGGAAAGTAGTTGAAAATTTTTTTACACACAAAGATTATGTTTAAGTCTAGTTTGGGTGTCAACATAACATGTAAAATTTCTCAATAAGTGAACAATAAATAACCATTTTATTTGTATTGGGAACAATGTATATCAATTAACAGCTAAAAACATTAAAGAATTTTAAATATTAATTTCAGTTAAATAACATTGGGTATAAAAAAAGGAATTTTTATTGTAAAATGTAATTATTCAAGCTTTTAAAACTGGGGCAAAAGACATTTTTTTAAGTTCTGTGACACTTAAATAGCAAGATAATTAGATTACAAACTTTATCTGCAAGCTCATAATTTATAAGGCAACTATTAAAAAAAAAATCAGCACAAGTTAAGCAAAAGAGAGGCAGAATAATTAAATTTTCTTCCCTTTCACACAATAAAGAAATTTTTTTGGTTAAAAGTGCTGTAAATGTCATCTTTTTATTTTAAGTATCCTTTCTTGAATAGGCATTTTTGTAGTAACACTCATAACAACTCTTTAAAAACTATTTAGAATATTACCAAATTTTGCAGTCCCCCCCCCTTTTAGAAACAATATTTATTTAAAATTTTGAACCATTAACAAAAATAGGAGGAAAAAGTTAACTAGAATAAGTTCTAAATATCATGTCTTTAAAATATTATTAATATTTATTATCATTATTTCTGCAATTTGAATTTTTTTCTTTTGTATTTCTGGATATAGATCAGCAATAAAGATTAAAACTATGTTTTTATTACAAAATATTACATTATTTTACACAAAATATCACTTTATAATTTTTATGGCTACTTTTAAAATTATAGTCATAAGTATTACAAAAAAAATGTCTTTCAATAGAACAAGATAACATTGTCAAATACAAGAAGCATCAGTGTTTTCCCAAAGCGTGGTTTGCCTGGAATGCCCTTTGAACCCAATAAATAAAATCCTCTTTTTGTGCATGTTTCATGCTAAACAATATTAATTTACTGTTTAAATAGTAATTACACACTAGTAAAATTATAGGTTAATAGGTTTAATTCTAAACACTATTACAAATATCTACTTTTTTATTATTATTTTTTTTTTTAAATTACGCCCTAAGATTGTTTATTAGAAACCCTTTAATTATTCTTTTAACTACAAACATTTTATTTTTTGAAATATAACACATAAAATAGTATAAGAGGGTAATTTAGAAATTGTTGAGGATCAAATTCAGTTATTACATAATATTATACATTTTAATAAATTCTTAAGGTGTTAAATGAGAGCCCTTTTCTAAGAGGCATGTCTTGTCCTTTCCTATTCCCAGGAAGAAATATGTAAATTATAAATTGAAAATATCACAAAATATTGCAACATATTGATACCCAATCGATATTGATATGCCCAATACTATACTAGACACTATTTTCGACTCAATATCAGTTAATTATGAAAAATGTTTCATATTTTTTACATTCTAGCATTATAATTGATATTTTTAACAGTTTTCTTTAATATTCTGATGATATAATTTCTTCTATAGAAAAAATGTAAATATCTCCAAGTTTTATTAGTTAGATATTTTCTCAATTTTCTTTAGGTTACAATAAATTTTAAACCTGTTTTGGGACATAACCTGTAGACTATAATAACTTCAAACTTACCAATAAATAGTGTATGCTTCTGCTTGAGCCGGATCTTTAATATTTGGTTCATTCAATAAATCTTGAATCCCCAGAAGAATCTAAACGAAAACAATCCCATAACCAGCAATCAGTTAAACAAATATAACAAAAACAAGACACAGAATTTGTATTAATATTCTGATATAGTATAGAAGGTAGTTCAAAAATTACTTATAAATCATGATGGCATTTTATTTTTCATTTCTTCTTTCTCAAAATAATACTGAGCTGCATTTAAATGGAAATAAATTATAATGTACAGAATTTTGAAAACAAACATTAAATTTTATATATTTCCTCAGTACATGTTACTGAATGGATCAGCATGATTAACACACATTTATAGACATAAAATACTTTGATTTCTATAACTTAGGATAAATAACCAAAATTCAGAAAATACTTGGGTATTTACGAAAAATTATGTAATTTTTCTTTTAGGTTTTGCAAAATTATATTTATTCATGGCACAATTGAGTTTTCTTAACATTGTCAATACAGTCTAACCTCGTTACCACAAAAACGGAGGGACTATCATAATTATTTCACATCAACCGAATTTTGTTTTAGCCCATGTATCGTGAAAACAATTTATTACATATTATTAATACATGTTATGTACTACATTAATGAATGTGAACAATTCTATCATGAACCAAAGAAATTAAAATAAGCTTAAAAAGTTCAACTACTTTATTATTTTATTTATTTGCCCATCTGCTACTTCTAAAAAAGGGAGAAAATAGAAATAGTATTCTTCAAAAGGAATGATTATGATTTTATTCACATGCTTATTATCTGTGCTGTGTTCCGTTTCCTTTCATGTTAAACGATAATCAGCTATAAAATTTCATGTTAAACATGTGTTTCGACTAAATTATATTTCACGATAAGCGGTTATGCGTTATTTTAGTTAAATCCTCAATTACTTCTATTTGAGAGTGATAGTGGTTTCATTCTCCTACAATTCATATGTTTATTATTCCCAATATTTAAGGTTTAAAAATTAAATTCTAAACTGGGAAAGTTTGACCAGAAATATACTTTTGAAACGCAAAAATTTATTTAGGTTTTTAAACAATATATTTTTAAAAGCTACATTTTCACTATATGAATAATATGTAATTCCTTCTCTAAATTATATTTAATTGTGTATTGTAATTCCTTCTCTAAATTATAGTTAATTGTGAATTATAATAAATAAAATACATATTTAGTTTCATCTTAATTTTAGAGAAAATTAAAATTTAATAATTCTTACAAGAACGAAAAAATTCATTAAATTTCTGTTATTAATATCAAGATAATAGAAAAACTTCCTGCAAACACTAAATCTCTATTTAAAAAAAAACTTTCAGCTAGTAATTTACTAACTCTTGTAACTAGTTGCATCCCTTCTGTCACCATATATTTTCAGCGAAATTTGTTTAAAAATGACCTCTTTTTAAAAATGTTTTAATTTGTGAGAAACTCTATAATGATTTTTATACAAACCAACATGTCTGAAAGTCAAGTGCAATGACACAGGGAAAGTGCAGCAGCAGGAAGCAGAGAAAGAAATTCTCACATCAATATCTGCCTGATTGACCTGCAGGTTAGAATAGGGAAATTTCGACCTCCCCCCCCCCTTCTTTTTTAAATGAATAATACTAAAAAATTTACAGAGATGTTGAAAGATATTAACTGCGGGGCATGATAAGGAAATTTTGACTGTTTTCGTTTATAATGAGTAATACTGAAAAATGGAACAATAACTTGGAACAATATTAATAATCAATATTTTACATTGACATGAAAACAGTAAATGACATATTACAACATAATGTGTGACAATTTTAAAATTATAACTACCTTTTGTTTAGTTATCTAAATTGTCTTGCCTTTGAAATATGAAGCAGTGTTTTGCTTATAGATTGAAAATCAACTCATAACCATCGAAAATTAATCTCATAATTCAATATTTCTGTTGTTAATGAAATTTTGCAGAAATATCACTGATTTTTAAAAATAAATCTATTTTTATCACTTTTAATGAATTAAATTCTATGCAGAAAAAAATTAACAAAATATCAAAAATTTAAAACTAATGACATCAAAAAGGTTTAACTTAATTTAAATGAAATAATTATATGGAAAAATTTCTTTTTCAATTTTGATATGGAACTTCTAGTTTTATCACTTAAATTAAAAATTTATGAAATTAATACAATTTAAAACTTAGTTTTAATAAACTCCATAAATGTTAACTTATTCCTTGTTTAATTAAATTAGGAACTCTTTTACAATCCAGTTTATACCATTTTCTTGCAAAAAACTGATTTATTCTTGAAAAATGCACAACCTGGAACTTAAATGAGAACGTCTATTTTATTACATTACACAATTCAAAACTTTTTACATTACATTTTTAATGCAACAATAAAGCTCTTTTTCTTGGCATATTTAGTTTTCTTCAAGCATTTCAGACGGAACTGATATACTTTTAAGTTTAAATTTTGGGTATTTACCCAAAGTAAGGACAAATACCCAACCCACGTCTATATACACACAAATGGATGGCATAAGCTTTCTCAAAATAGGAACTCAATAACTTCAATTTTTGTAAGATTTTGATAGAGTTTGTATTTCATTTTACTGATTTAGTTTCTAGTATTAATTGTTTAAACTATTATTAATTAACTAATTAATTGAGACATTTAACGTTTCTTTTCAGTTTGCTTAACTTTTGTTAAAACTTATTCAAAATTTAGGTATAATTAAAATTAACTCACTTATAAATAGGCTGTTTTTTAATGTTATTGAAAATTAATGAAAATGTAGAAATAAACATGTCTTTATACATCAATAACTACCATTTTGCTAACATATTTGACATTTTGATAGCAAACTGCTGAACCTCACAAAATTTACCCTTTAAATTATCAGACATGGGACAAACTAGCAGATAGAATTTATACATTTAAGACTAAGCCTACATGAAAAATTTTCAAAATATTAAAATATTTCTAAGATTTAAATACATTTGAGATATAAATTTTAAAAATTACATTTAACTTTTATATATTTATGAAATAATTTGAATCTATATCATTTGGTATATTTTTAAGATAAAATTTTTTCTATAAGAACATTAAAATCCACTTTAGTGATAATGATATTGAACTGTTATAGGCAAAATTATTTAAAAAAGCTCAATGACTAAATAAAAAATAAAAATAAACTAAGTTACAAATTACAAAGCCACGACTTCTTAAAATTAAGTCTCAAATAAGAGATTTTATGGTAAATGAGAAATATGTCTACTATAAGCTAGGTTTGATACTGTTATAGACATAATTCTTCAATTCCAATAAATTAAAAAATAGTATAGAAGAGTAGAAAGCATTGAGAACTCACTACAGTCATACAGCAACTTTATCTACTTCAATGAAAGGAAGTGCTGTTAATGCAAACAAGCATTACAGAACATTTATGTTATATATAAAATATAAATGGAATGTTACAGAATGCATAGGCACAACAAAATAATCAAAACACTTTGATACCACAATAAATTAAAAAATGAGTATTTTTTAGTGGCACACATTTTTTGCTCATCCTCTATGTTGCAAATATTTTTTCAGGCATTTTTTTTTTACTTTCATTTATGAAGAATTTAAATTTTTTTTTAGAAGATTATGAAGAATTTAAATTTAAATTTTTTCAAATCACTTTTTGCAAATGCAACACAAAAAAGAACATGCTTAAAATTAATTTGCTTCAAACATTAACAACATTGTAAGATGTGCACAGGGACAGGGATCTATGATTTGATGATCCCCATTAACTTTACTCCTAGAAAATAATATAATAAACATTATAGGGAATCATAATAGAGGTAATTTAGCATAATTTTGTTTTTTAATTATTTAAATTCTTTTTTCTTGAATTTTATGCTTTCCTACAAGTTTGTAATATTCAGGTATGACTAATTATAGATGCACACTCTTCAGAGCATTTAGATTGCATATTAACTTCATTTTGGCAGATTCAACAGAACACATTAATAAAAACAAATAATACTTTGATTAGTTTTTGATGACAACAGAAACAAACAAGTAACATTTAATAGAAATACAAAATTGTCTTGTCAAATAGTATAATTATCATTATTATTGTAATTTAAATAATCAAGAAAATGAAATGGGGAAGAAAAAAAAACGAATTACTTAAGAGTAATTTTTCACTGAATCCTTATATTTTCTTGCACTTTTTTCTAAGTGGTCTACTTTAAGGTGGTAATTAATCCTAACTATTTAAGTTGTGAAATTGAACATAAGAATATACTTTCCATGCATATTCATACTTTTTTAAAGGCTGATTCAGAATTTTATCTAATGAAATATGAATTCGTAAGTTAGATAAAAGATTGATAATTTTAACATAAAAAACTTTACATAATGCATATAAAGACCATTTAGCATGATAAAAATTTGAAGTAACGCACAATTCCTGGAGAAAAAAAATCTAAGTAAAAAAGAAATAAATAATGATTAAATTTAATAAATAAATTACAATTTATTTAGTTTTCGGTATCAATTCTGTCAGGAAATTTATTTCTATCACAGGGGTATGTGAAGTGACTTATCATTTTACAAAAAATTCACAAAAAAATCCATTTTGACAAGACATTTTTTTCAATTAACAAGAAAAGACAGAACTGAAAAGATTCTCAGTAATAATCTGTAAGGAAATATTACTTCAACATTACTCAGAGTAGATCTATGAAATAATTCATCCATCAAAAATATGCACTTTTATTTAAATATTTCTTTACTATCAGGCAAAAATTAATACCCTAGTATTTTGTAAATATACGTCATTTCCTTCTAAATTGAAATAGTTTATGAATTAATTCATCATTTAATAAAACTATTTCATTTAATAAGAGACAGAAACTAAATAAAAATCACAAATATTTTGTGATTTAGTCTATCAGGAAATTTCACTTCATCAAAAATCAGAGTAGGTCTGTGAAGTGATTCATCATTCGAGGGAATCAAAATAATTTCATTCGTGAAAATTTTTTCAATAGATAGGATTACAATGAATAAAAAAAAAGGTTAGTATTATTAATTTTGTCAGAAAAATACACTTCATCATGAATCAGAGTAGGTCTGTGAAGTGATTCATCATTTAATAAGATTTTTAAGGATCAATATATTTCTCAAAATAAAGCGGACAGAACTAAACTTATCAAAAGTTTAAACGAGCTAAATTTTAATAAGTTTCCAAGATTTTGTTAGAACTTTCCCACCTCAACATAAATCAGTGTGGATAAGTTTAATTCTGTTTTATTTAAACCAAATCTCGTAACAACAAAGCTCCATAAATATATGTAAGTTTTAGTATAAGTTCATCAATTTCAATCATCATATCAGTCGGAGTACATCTGCTAAATTGGTTATCATATAACCAAACTTCACTTTAAAAAAAAAAACAATTTCTGGAAGTTGAAATAACTTATAAAAATTAAACAGAAATTTCAATAGGATATGTATCAATTCAGTAAATTCCACATCATAAATCAGAGTAGGTCTGTGAAGTGATTCATCATTCAACATATAGAATAATTTATAAAAGTCAAATTTCAAAACTAAAAAAAAAAAAGATTTAGAATAATATTTGATTAAAATAATGTAATGTACATTTTAGTTTCTGAAAGGATGCGAAATAACATTATAATTTAAAATTTCTACAAAGTAAAAAATAGTTTTAAACGCACTTGTTTGATGGTGATAGCCGGACGCCAATCTTTTTCTTCATCCAAAAGGGAAAGACAAACAGTTCCAGATGGATACACATTAGGGTGAAAAAGGGGTGGCTCAAATTTACCTGATTTGTAAAGTTTTTGTTAGAATTGTTTAGTACAGAAAGTTTCACTTACATTAAATGATATGTACTTACATTTGGGAGGGGTTGATGGATAATCGTCTTTGAAAATCATTCTTAATTTATACTGACCTCCTTCCCAAGGAGTCTAAAAAATAGGTAAAAAACCATTATAAGACTATCAAAAAAATTAAAAAGAGTAGAAGCTATCTGATTTTAAAACAGTATTATGCTTTCTATATCAAAATTCAATGGAAGATGTTTACTAAACCTCCACAATAGATTAAACACGGAGTAAAAACATCTATAAAAGTAAAACACTTGATAAGATATAGTAGAGATAAAAATAATATATTCAAGTAAACTAAAGTCGTGATGATCATATGGAATCTCAAAAAGGAGACCTTTATGAGATTGACTCTGCCTTTGAAAGGTTTCGAAATTCCTATATATTATTACAAGGGTGATTCTTACATTAAGGAGTATATTAGGGAATATGTAACTTTCTAAAAAAATTGTCTAAAAAATTTGAAGAAAAAAAAAAATCACCACAATACATTAAAGCAGGGTTTGTGATTTTTTTGATTTTCTTAAAAAAAATCGAAAAAAATCGGATTTTTTTGATTTAAATCGGATTTTTTATTTTATTTAAATCCGATTTTTTTGATTTCTATTCAAAAACACTATAAGAGCTTTAATTTATGATAAAAAAACCTTATAAATGTTTAATCAAAATTAAATTAATATTAAAACTATATTATAACAATATTTTAGAAGCTCTAACTTACTAAAATAATTTTTCATTATAATGCATGGCGACCATTTTGATACAAGGGCATGATTGAAATTAAAAGACAAGATAAAATAGATAATTTAAAGAATACTACTTCAACTAGTAACACAAAGTTTCAATTAGCACACCATAACTTTAATTTAAAATTGTGATCTCTTTTTTTTCCCCTCATGATTTATAAAATGGCAAAATAAATGCAACAGATTGTGTTCATAAATGTTGTCATTCATCAAAAAATAAATATTCAATCTATAAATTTTTATGTTAAAATATTCATTTTTAATCCTATATCTCATTTTTAATCTATATCAAAATACATAAGTTAAGCATAAAAACATTTAAAAAAAATCTATGAACTCATTGGAATTTTTTTCACAAAAAGAAAATCTGATAATTTCAAAGATACCATAAACATATTATAAGAAGAAGAAAAAATACCAGTTAATAAACCCTACTGCTTCAAATAGACTTTGTAAAGGAAGAATGACACTATATCAGGAAAAAATATCTGAACTCAGCTTTTTTTTTCTTCTTTCTATTTTTGGCATGTTAAGGTAATTTCTTTTTAATATTACCTCGAGCTTTAGAAACATAGAAATTTCCATCAATAAACTATAATGTAGATTTGAATTCCATGCTTTTTTAATCAAAAGGTAGAATTTTAATTAACATTTGCTTTTTTTTCTTTTTGAAAAAAAATCATGTTTATTTACTTTCTACAGCTATGCAAGTCTATATTAAGACAGCATTAAATATTTACTTTAATCTGTACTTTCAATGTTAAGAATCAAAAGATTTTTAAACATGTAATTTTAAATGTGTTTAACACACTCCAAGAAAGAAAGTAATTTCGTTAACTAAAATTAATTAATGCAGCAATTTATTTAAAATAAATTTTAAAACTAAGAAAAGAAAATAATAAAAGTATCAATAATTTAAAGCACTGTTTTTTAACTTTTAAAATCAATATAATATATATATAAAAATCAGTTGATTTAAATCAATGATTTTTTTAAAAAAATCATTTGATTTTAATCATGATTTAAATCGTGATTTAAATCAAGCTGATTTAAATCAGCGAACCCTGCATTAAAGATTAGTAAATAACAATATTAGCACAGTTTAAGAGTTTATTTTATTCTTGAAGAGGTATATGATGAGCCTAAATGAGGAAAAAAACATTCACAAACACGTGAGTTGCAAAATGAAATTTTAATTTATCAGTACTCTTACTGTACCCAGTTTAAGATTATATTCAATATTAATGATTTAATATAATGCATATAAATGAAAAATTATAAAGGGGTCAATTAGGGTTTAGTTTATTAGGCCCATTTCTGAACGGAAAAAACGAAGAAAAAAAAAATTCCTACACCGCTTGCCTGATTTTGAATACATAGGCAATTCCATGGAACAATGGGCATCATAAATAAATAAACATTTAATAGCATCCTTCAACTATCATATTTCTTAATTTTACTAACTATTTTAAATATAAAATCAAAAATATTAGTTTCTAAATATTTTGAAATAACAGTAAAAAATGTATTAAAATTTTAATTTTATTTGTATCTGAAACGCAGTCCCATAAAATTTATGTCAATCACGCAGCTTTTTCTCTATTTGCCACTTTCCTTATCTCATAACTAGTATACTTTCAATGTTTCCTATTTATTTAAACTGTTTTTAAAATAAATTTAAAAAATGATCTCCCATTATTGTTTGTAGACGTTCAAAAGAACCCATTATCGCTTGTAGAACTTCAAAATAAAAATATTTTTACTCCTTGTCCTTTCATACACAGACAATAACATTTATATTTTAAATAAAACATTGATAATTTTAATATTTTAATCCTTTTGTTCTTATATCATAATAATATTCAGCTATTGAAAAACCCCTATATATATTTTTCTACAAAAAAAAAAAAAGAAAAAAAAAAATTAATTNCGAAAAAAAAATTTTTTAAAAAAAAAAAAAAAAAAAAAAAAAAAAACAATTATCAATAAAAAAAAAAGAAAAGGTTTACAAGAAAGAAAACCTATCAAAATATGTCAGCCACCATGGAAAAAATTTTAATCGAAATCAAGAGAAAATTTGCACTTAAAGACAGAAATGAATGATTGCCAGGAGAGCTTATCAGGAAAAAAAAAACTGCAAATGAAGTTAAGACAAAATTTGAACATCAAAGACCGTTCAAAATGTTTTAAATAAACATCATTTTTTTTTAAGGAAAATTAGTATCCTGTCCACTTCTTAGAAACCAACACAAGAGAAAGGTTGACTTTTCCAAAAAACTCTCTCTGTCAAAATGAACTGATGTTATTTTTTCTGATGAAAAGAAATTCTATCTTGAAGGACCTGATTGTTCTCTCATTATTTTTGCCATGATCTGCGAAAGGCCAAAGAAGTGTTTTCCCAATGCCAATATTGTGGTAGCTCAGTTATGGTTTAGACCACTTTTGCTGGAACCATTCCAATAACCTTTATCAACAGTAAAATAGATTCTGACTTATATGTTGATCTCTTAGAAGGAAGTTTGTTACCCTAGGTACCACTGATTACTTCAGGGGACTATATTTTTCAACATGATAATGCCTCGATGCACATTTCTAAAAGCCCAAAACTCTGGTTTAAAGCAAATTCTGTAAATTTAATTGATTGGCAGGCGAAGAGTTCTGATCTCAATCCAATTGAAAACTTATGTGGACTTTTAGCCCAAGAAGTTTAAAAAAATAGCACACATCAACACAAACATGATCTTTTCTTCGCTATCAAAGACGCTGCAAAAAAATTTATGAGATCTTTCAGGATTCATGACCACTCGCTTATTCAAGTGATTGAGAAAAAAAGTAGTTCATTTCAGAAAATTTTGAACATGTCCTTATACTTTTTTCTCTCCATATTTCCGTTAGTGTTAATTTTTATACAATCCATATTTTGAAGCCAAATATTTTTATGTCCTACTATAAGTGTTATTACAAAATTATGTAACAGAAATCGAACATATAAAAGTTTCATTTAGATGAAATGAAATTAAAGCATATTTTAATTCAATTTAAGGTTTAGGCTTTCATTCAATATAAAGTTTAGGTTTAAGGTTAAGCTTTAGGCTTTTCTTTTAAAATCAAATCTTAATTTACTTAGCCATACATTACAACTCAAATATAAATTTACAAGTTTCCTTGTATAATCCCAGGAACAGGGTTGGAGTTTTTGCCGGCAAAAAGGGGTTTTTGCCAGGACAGTGGCAAAAACCTGGTAAAAACCGGCAAAAACTGGTAAAAACCGGCAAAAACCAAATTATCTAAATTGCTGATTAAATATTATTACAAAATACTTGAAACAAATTTAAATCAATCATAAGGAATAATAATTTTGATACATTACATGAAAAAATTATTTTTAACATATTAATAATTAATATAATGGTAATAATTTTTAAAAGATTGAAAGTTTGTGATCTCTTTTCATTTTAGAATCCTAAAATAAATGTTTTTTTACAAATAAATAAATATTATTATTTGTATAATATTATTATTTATTATAAAAAATTATTATTTGTACAATAATTAACTACACATGTTGATAGATATTTTATGCTTTAAATTATAGTTATATTAATTTAAAATAAGTTCATTTCACTGGAAAAAAGAGAATAATCACAAATTTTCCAATCAATAATGTTTTAAACTACTAAAATGATATATTATTACATTATCATTTAATTATGGAATAATAATTTTGTTAATTTTTTTGTAATTATTTATATTTATAGTATATATTTCAATTTTAGGAATAATTTTGTATCAAAAATGTGTTTTTGTCCTCTCATCTTGGAAAAAATAGGTTTTTGCAACTTTGCTTGGCAAAAACCTGGTTTTTACCGGTATTTACCATGGTTTTTTCCACCTGCGGCAAAATCTTGCCAACCCTGCCCAGGAAGAATGAAAAAAATAAATAAAAAATCTACAAATTTGGTGGGTAACCAATAATAATAACCATAAACTATATACTTACAGATTTTTTTCCCGGAATAGCACATTCCCAATTCATTAAATTATATGTTCCATCAGCATTTTTTGTTGGTCTAGCCACAAATCCCTGAAATAGGGAGACATAATTTTATCTACTAGTTTTCTATAGTGTATCATCTTGGCTAATCAAAAAAAAAAACTTCTAATTAAATTAAACATTAGCAAAAAACTATAAGACTTACAAATGGGTGATCTTTTCGCCAAGCTTTTCTCTCTTCAGCAAGTCGAGCAATTGATATCCCGGACATGGTAACACTAAAAGTATTTAATATTTCATGAATATGTTTATTATAATTAAAAACTACAAAATATTTTATTATGAGAGAGACAATATATTTTTAAATAACTTATAAAACATTAAAACCTATTGTAGCGTATCTACCACTACAAAATTACAACTACAATTCACTAGTATATATGACATGTTAACTCTCCCCACATTGGTGACCTTCGGACGTGATGTGAACATGCCTACCTTGGCAATAACGCCCACTTCGATATGAACACGCCTACCTAGGCAGTAACGCCTACTTTGATGGATGATCCACATTGAAAAGTTGACTTGCAGCTTGTGACTGCAACATTATCCACCTCCTCGCACTGTTGCTACTCAGTCTCGTCTCGATCACGCACAACGTCAGCTTGCATACTTGTAATTACTCGACTGCTAACAGCAACACAGGAGCGACTATGACCGTGAAGTTAATACACCTCTCACATTCAGCACTCAAAAAAATATGGTGATCTTAATACAGCTCTCCCGGCTTCTCACAAAACAGCAATGAATCAACTAGTGGTATTCGTTCATCGAATTCTATCACAGATATAATTCTAGTGGGGGAGTACAGTAGCGTATCACTTTCCGATTCCCCTAAAGGATCCACTACCACTACAAAATTACGACTACAATTCACTAGTATATAAGACATGTTAACTCTCCCCACACCTATCTATTTGAAAATAAACTTCATTAGAATTGGGTCACCACCTTTCAAAGATATTTCCATAACCGTAACAGTTTATTTTAATTGCTATCATCAATAGGCCAAATTGGTTATGGCTCTATTCACTTAATTGAATTAAATAAAAATAATGTAGATATATAATGAGTTACTCAGAGCTGGCTATGAATTTTTACCTTACAATAAATGAGTTAACTTCTGTCAGCAATTTTTAATTTTCTCACTAACCACTAGGTTTGAGCCGTAACTTATTGAGAATTTTGATACAGATAAACAGAAATGTTCTCTTATTATAATTATGCTAAAGTTGATGTTTTACTGTCATCTGCCAAACCAACTACAATCCTCAAATAGATTTTAAACTTATAATTTGTTACAAAAAAAAATATGAAGGAATCTGCCTGGGATGGTTATGAGTTACACTTTCAGAGTTAGATCCCTTCTTTGTTTGATTTTTTTAGCTTCTTCTGGACCACTGCTCAGAAAAGGCTAAGATTTGATGTGTATTTTGACGTTTATCAAGATACCATAATATTCCTACTGATAAAGATAATTAAATAATTATTTTGTAATATACAATACTATTATTAACAAATTTCGAACAATCTACATAATGAACCAAACATGGTGGTTACTTTCCAACTATGTAAATTACAATGTGCCTGCCACTAACATAGATAATTATAAAACTACAAGCTTAATAATTTGGAAAACAATGATTCAAAACTCAATTTTTTAGTATTTAATAAATAAGGTTATCTTTTCTGCCCCAAAGCAAGGCATTTTGCTTTACCCCACCCCACATTAAATAACTCATTTTAATAATAAAGTTTCTGGAATTTATTATTCAAATTGATTTGCGTGCTTAAATCCATAAAATAAATAACTTTATTGAAATTTACAAAACATGCTAACAAAATAAAATCGAATAAAGGCGGGAGATAATATAGGAGAATGGCGGGAGACGTCAGATTAGTCACAAATTTATAATCTAAACAAACATAAAATGTTGTCCAAATTACGAAATAGAGACATAACTGAAGAAATACAGAACAATAAGGGCAAACCTGAGAGTTATTAAATCTTTCTGATTTAAAAACATTGGCACGGGATGTTTTATGGCGGGAGAAGTGACATAAGACTCACAGTGCCAATCTGACAGCATTTACCCTTCATATAGAAATTACGGTTGGAGATATATAAAATAAAACAATTATAACCTTTAAAATAGAAGTAATAACATAAATTTTTTTCCCGAACAATTTGAAAACAGACTTTAATGACGGTAGCTATTGAACGACTATGATGTAGCTAAGACAAAAATACGCCAGTAAACAGAATTAAGTAAATTCAAAGAGAAAACATACTTGTTTACTATTCAACTTAAAAAAATATTGCGAGATAGTAACATAAATATAACGAAGAGAAAAATTTGTGTAATAAGGATATGCTGTCTTAACCCTTCTTTGACTTCGTGTTCATGTGTGTTTTATTCAATAACAGGACATGCGACTACAAACATATTTATACATTAATATTTACTACACCTGAATATTTATATAGTCTCAAAAAAGACTAGAGTACCCGATTCGTCTAAAGTTTAAAATAAAAATATTTAAGCAATTCAGCAAGCAACAACTTCTGAATTCTGTTTTCAGAAGAGATGAAAGCTCGTTGCCACTACACATGTCTGAATGCATAAAATAAATTTAGGTATATTCAGTTTGAAGCAACGCGTGTGATTAATTGAAGTTTTTTGATTGGCCATTAAAAAAAATTTGGATGTAATGACTGTTAAGTTATCCTAGTTTGAATATAGCCACAAAGGTAATTTTTTTAATTAAAAAATTATGCAAAGGCATTTTAAATATTCAAATATATTTCGTTTTACCAAATTTCCTACATTTAAATTAAAATTATTAATTCATTGAAATAGGAACAAAAGTTGGCAACTATTGTACTTTCAGACTATTTTGACTTGTTTTGTTCAATTCTGAATGAATGTATTTCTCAATTTCAATTAATTGAAATTAATTGTTACGAATATTGAAATTTAAAAGCGGTAAACCATGGCTGAAAAAATGGACGTTGACTTGTCTTTGGATGATATTATTAAAAAGCATAGAGGAAAATTTAATTCATTCCGCAATAAACGCGGTCGAGCTCTTCAGGGACGTCGAGGTAATACAAGAGGCCTTGGACGAACTCGTGGAAATTTACGTCAAGGCATGGATATCAGAAAATCTACCAATTTTAGGGTAATTTTTTTAATTTCTAGAGAAAATTGGTTTAACTCAGATTCTTAATGCTCTGTAGTGTGTGGAGGTGGTGCTGTGTTCTTCAATTTGGTGCCATGAAAGTGTTATTTTAACGAGCTTTTTTTTTTTTTAAAGTTGTCTAAATGACTAATACTAGTTTTATTATTTTTTGCTTATTCGACTCCATCAACTCCTCCCCTTTTCTTTCAGTGCTTTATTAGAAATAGTCATTGCTGTGTGATTTTATTTATTTTTTAACTTAAGAGATTTACCCCTAGATTAATGAAAAATTAATAAACTCTGCTGTTACTTCTCGCTATTCATCATGCTCTTTATTAGAAGACAAAAATTTTTTAGACACAATAAAAGGTATAAGTTTAAATGCTAGGTGGTAAACTGCAATAAATTTGTATTCAAGACTCCATTAAAATACTTCTTACACTAAAGTCACTGCCAGGTGACTCCTGTAAACTGAAGCTACTGATGCTTGCTTTGAGGTCTTAAAACTGCTTTACTTAATTGCTATGAAAGTACTACTACATTCTATCTCCAATAAGAAACCTGGGTGTAAGTATTTGCATCCTATGTAAACAATAAATATAATTGATTTTCAACTTGGGTACATATACCGAATAAGCTAAAATTGAGTATAATCAATCCATTAACTTTAGCTAATTGTCGAATTAGCAAAAATTGACAATGATAATGGACTTGATAAAGATTTGCATATCTGTGGTAAAAATAATGGCCAGGCCTTGGCATTTTCTGGGTAACATCCTGCAACACTCTAAAAAAAAAATTTAATCACAGAACGGGACCAAGTCGAACTTAACTAGTTATTACGTTAGGCAAACCTCACGTTTTTTTTTTTTTNTTTTTTTTTTTTTTTTTTTTTTTTTTTTTTAGATTTATGAGTTTAAAATTCATTTGCACCTTGGCAATTGAAGTTGGTACGACTGATCATCAAGTGGAAGAATTGAAAAATTCAATTTTTTTCAAACATACTTTGTCGAAATTCAAAAAGGAAAAAATTGCTGATAATTGTTTTCTTTTTTTATATAAGTGGATGTCTATGCATCAGAATAAATATTTCTTAACAGTTAAGTTTCGACGACAACAGCAATTTTGAAAAGATTCCTGCATTTGTATTTGAAATTGAGCAATAGCCTAGTATAAGGCAATTTCCAGACAGTGGTCCACAAGATAGTACTGGATATAACTCATATCCTGCTTTTAGTGCCTTGATTGTTGGTATAAATAGGTACCTACTGATATGAAAATATCCCTAAAATGCATATTTTTAGCGTTTATTACGAGAGAATATAAAACATTGTTGTAAGAATCTCTTATTATTTTTTGGAAAACTACAGAAACTTCTGTTCTATTAAGATCTTTAAAAAGACATGTTGTTGGATCCTAAAAATATTACAGCGTAAGAGGTTGTAGCCTCTTTTAATCTGATCTTAGCTATATTTTTTGAAAAATAAATCAGTTGATGGATAGTGCTATGTAATCAGCATATTATAAGATATTTACCGATTTTTCTCTTTTTAATTATTTTATGAAAATAATTATGTATCTTAGTTATGATTAAATGTCTGTTAGTAAAAGGTGAACTTATACCTTTTTCTTTTTAGGGTACCTTTAAGGCACGATCAAAAACTTTTTTAACCACTAACAGAATCAGGCGAGGATTGAATAATGCTGCTGGTTCTGGTCCAGCAAAACTTTTAATTTCAAACCTGGACTATGGAGTATCTGATTCTGATATAAAGGTATTTTAATTTTTTGATATTAAAAATTTGTTTGTTTTTGATATGTTTTACTTATTAATTGTTGTGTAATCTTCATAAGTTGTTTCTGTTGATAAAAAATGATCAAGTCCATTAATTATAGTTTTGTGGGGTAAAGCCCTTGATTTAAGACAGCCTTTGCAGGATTTGGTTCGCTGTTGTAAAAATATATTGCATTAATGTATTTCAATCTTCATTAATCAACAAAAAAAAAAAAATTTAATGCTTTCATTCAGATTTGATCTATTTTAGTTCTTATTACTAAATATTTTTTAATATCTTAGAATAACTTTCCTATCAAGAGAAATTTATGACAATTTAAATTGATTATTTAAAAAATGTAAGTTTATGCAGTAAAAAAAAATCTTGCATTTGGAAGCAAATATTTCCGGAAAAGTTATTTTCCGTGAGAAATGTCTGTTTTTTCCAATCTGTAAACTTTTGAGGCAAATGAAGTTTTTCAATCAAGTAGTATCTTACTGCTTCAGTTTTTTTTTTATTTTATATTTAATAATGCTTAAAATTTTCAGAATAGGATCATTCTGTTATCAAAGAATGAGTTGAGAGATACTTATAGATTATGTGAACAAATATTTTTTTTTATAAATCTTACTCTCAATATTCTTTTTAATTTGTCAAAGTTTAATCTAGTGTACTTTATTATGATTAGATATTTTTTAAAGTACTAATGTTTTTACCTGAATTTTATTCATTTGTAATTTTATTTCATTATTAAAAATAATTATTGTGTTTTTAATGTTTAAACCTTTCTTTGCCCGAAGGAATTATTTGGCGATTTTGGCAACCTGCGAAAAGCAGTTGTTCATTATGACCAGTCTGGTCGTTCTCTTGGTACAGCAGATGTTGTTTTTGAACGTCGAAGTGAAGCAATACAGGCCATGAGACAATATAATGGAGTGCCCCTAGATGGTGAGGCTTACTGCCTGAAAGAGGTTGTATTTTTGTCAATTTTTTAAATTGTGATAAATTGCCTTATAATTTCCAAAATCTTGAAGGATTTGGTGGAGCATAAACATGTTTCCTGTCATTACTTTCCTTTGGCTATGAAGGTATGGTTTTTAGAAATTTTGTATCTCTAGAACAAGCTTGCCTCCTTTTGTGGTCAAATTATTTTAACTAGATTTATGATTTTATTGCATTTGAAATGAAATGCAATAAATTCAAGTTTTGAAAAATATGGTTGAAGCCTGTGGATTTTTTCATTTATTAAACATGAACATTACATTAATATTTGAAAGAAAAAAAAAAGGATTGTTAGTTTTATTAATAGATAGTAACAAAAAAATTCTCATTTGAGTTTCACTTTTGCTGTTTTTATTGCATTTCATTTCATTGATTAAAGAAAATATTTTATGACTATACTCACTCAGTTAAGCACCATTTAAATATGTTTTAATTACATGTATGAATGAAATTTTTCCAAATGAATAGATTATATTTTAAAAAATAAATTGATGTGAATGCACCTTTATGTAAAAATAACCACTTTAAAAATTTGCAGATATTGGTAGAAGCTATATAAGTATTTGTTCAGATGTATCACTTGAAATCAGCCTATATGTTAGGTTTGGCCACACCTAATATATATGCTTCAGGGGTCTGTCACAAAATAGGCACCTGTCAAGAGAGGTGCCTATTTTGTGAAAATTAAATTATATTAAAAAATCAACACAAAAGTAAGATATTTTCAAAATTTGTCACTACAAATAAAAATCATTTATGACATTCATATTTTGCCATATATTCAAAAATAGTTTTGCTATTGTGAAATTTTGGACTTAAAATTGTATCGAAATTTAAAAATCTCTAAAAGTCATTGTCCATTGTTAAATTTCAACTTGAATTTAAAAGAAACACATACATTTAGCAGTACTTGCACTAAAAGTTATTTTGATTATGAGAACATTTCCCACGGGATAATACAGAAAAAAGTTTCAAAAAGAAAAAAATGTTTCATCAAAAAATAAAGGTCTGTTAGAATAACATGTTCAAATTTCAACTTCCTGTAAAGTTCACAGAGGGAGCGCCTCGTCGTTTAATTTAAAGGGGAAAAAAACTCTTTGACAAAAGCTCACTATAATATGGCGTAAGCGACCGGTTAGGCTACCACATAGCAATATCTCACCAAGCACATGCTACCTATTCGTATATGCTTAATTAATCCAGGATTTATCGTTTCTCATGAGGATACAAAAACTGGATTTTAAGGGGCGTGGGAGAGAATCTTAGGACTTACTTTTTTAAAAGGATTTTGAGAGACTACCGTTTTTCTTAAAGTTGAATTTGTGAAGGTACCGCTAAATAGTAGTAAATTTGCCCTGGACAGACCCCTGTGCTTTTAATTTATAAATGGTACTTTGCTATATGTAAATTAAAAATCACATTACAAAGCTGTCGCTTGTTCCAAATAAATAATATTTGTTTCTTTTTTTTTCCGACTTGTTCCAAAAATAAAATTTTAGGGCAAAATTTTATGATTTTTTGGCTTTCTTGTGCCTTTTCGCTCCTTTTACTGATTTTTGTAGGTCTAAAAACTGGAAGCAGGGTGTGTTATTTTTTTCCTCAATTCAAAAACTTATAATCCGGCCAGATTTTGAAGCTTTTGCTAAGTCCCATTATCGAGACGTTTACATGCATATGATTCTTTTATTTTCGTCATTTTGAATACTTGGTACTGCGCTATTCATTCTTTGTTTTTGCCTGATTTAAAAATTGTATATTGTGCTGCATATTCATGTGTCTTGTAAAATCTAATATTGCAAGTTGTTTTCATGCATAGATTTTCGTATTTGTTCGCAATTTAAAAACTCTGCATTGGGATTCATATTCACCAGACTTTAATATCCGATATCATGGTTCTTGAAAAGAATGTGTTTTTTCTTGAATTAGTTCCATAAAGGTGTGATATTCTTCAATATTAAGCAATCTATTAAAAACGTCTGTTAAAAAAATTATGTTAAATATAAAACATGTATGGTTTATATATTAATTTTTTGCTCATAAAATATTCAGGGTTTTTCACTTGGTGTGGCAATTAATCCTGATTGGCTTATCGTGTTAGTGTTCTTATTTTTGTCTTTAAGAAGTTGGCAGCTATTCATTATACCAATATGAAATAGTTTTTGTTACCTTTCAAATGTTATTTATTATATCACAACTTATCTAAATAGAAGAGAGTAACATTTGTAACATGTACCACTAGCAGTTTTTTCGTGTCTGTTAAGAAATATCCTAATCAACGGTAGAGTGAACAATGATTGCAGTTTATGGTATCAAAGTTTTAGTGTTGGCTAATGTTGGACTTTGTTTTGTTGCAATGTACTTGAAGAGCGCACATTGATTAAATAATAATTTATTTAAAAAAATTACATAACTTATCAGAAATACAATATTTCTTATTATGCATCTAGTTAAAAAAATTAATGTTATTTTTATACTGATTCTAGATTTTATTTTTGCAATGTTATGCCCGTATCAATGCTGAGGTCAACACTTCCATGACTTCTGGTATAAGATAATTTTTCTGGTATCATGTATCTGATATAAAATCATTTAATTCAGAGTGTGGACACCTCAAAAGATTTTTGAAAAAATAAGACTAAGCATTTTATCACTGAACTTTATTACATTAAAAAATAATGTTATCAATTTATATGAAAATTTAAAAAAAGAAGTATTCGTGTTATGTTAATAGTTTAATTATCTAGATTTTATCATTCTTTCTGCATAAAATTCTGAAGAATTTTTTTTAATTAAAATTTGATTTTAAAGAAAAAGGTTATTTTTTCAGTTTAGTTGTATTTATTAAAGTTTGGGTTTTTCTGATTATTCCGTCTAGGGCGAGCTATGAAAATTCAGATAACAAGTTCTGCTCCTCCAACAAGCACAATGGTAAACAACTCATTTTCTAACAAATTTGGAAAAAGAGGAGGAAATACTGGAAACAGATTTCCTGGACGGTAAGTATTAATAAATCTGTTTGATCTTTAAAATTATGAAAATGATTTGATTTTCAATTCGAAAATATTTGTGCCTGTGTGTAAATGTAAAGATTGCTCAATAGTGTTAAAAGTTTCTCTTTTTTTTATGTTTTCATATACGTAGATTTAATAAAATAATTAAATTTATTTAATGAGAAGACCGATTTTGAATGGTTTGTGAATTATTTATTGAAACAGAAATATTTTTATATTAAAAGCTCTTGAGCAATAGTGGAGCTGTTTTGAGTGTTTGTCAAGTATACTTTTTTTTTGTGGCATGAAAATTATTAGACTTAGAAACTTAAAATTATCAAAATTATGTCAAAAAAAATTGCACAGAGGGTACTACAAAAGGAAAATATTAATATTTGGTGGTTAATTTGAGAATTATTAACTGTTAACCTAGTATAAAAATAAACTATGAGCCACTCAGCAACTGAAGGGTTGAAATTTGACATGTAGAAAGGGCCATTTTTATTTCATGTTGAATTTCAAATATGTGAAATTAAAAAAATTTGTGACAGCAGCATTTGTTGATCAGTTTGAGATATCTTATTTTGTCTCAGCTAATCCAAGTTAAATACAGATTTTATTGTATGTTAAATACAGATCTTTTATTCTTTCATAAAAGAGCTTTTATAGCATACAATTCTGATTTTTTTTAAAAAAAGAAAAAAATTACCAAGAAGAATCGGAAGTTTAAAAATAATTATCGACATGTTGATTAACACGCACAAAGCTATGCAGTTGATGTGTTTGAGAAAAGAAATTTTTTTTTTTTTTTTAGGATAGTCGTTTGGTTTTGTAGTAGTGAAATTACTATACTATTATAAGGTACTTTAGGATTATCACGTCAACCATTTTGGCCAAACCTGATATTATCGCCAAAAGGTAGCTTCTGNTACTTTGTTCAAAATAAAACTCCCGCAAAATCCGGGAGAGTTGGCAGGTATGTATATATGATTAAACTAACAATAATTAAAATAAAAGCAAAGTAAGTCCGTCAAATTAGCAACGACTACATTTAAGTTACCGTTTTTTATTTAATTACAACTTGATTCTGATTTTGTACGAATGCTTTTCTGAATCACCCGTCCCCAAGGGTTTAAGAGGTTAAATGAATGGATCCTATTTTTCAAAAAAGAAAAAAAAAGTAGTAGCTTAAGTTATTATATAATTTATTTTATAGACATAATAATGTTCAGTTGACCATAATATGCTAAATATTAGATTTTTTCAAAATTTCTGTTTGCGAGATAACGAGCCACGCTGTTCAGGAACACGAAAGGTGTATTCATAAACGCATTATTCAAGCGCACTTCAAGAAAGCTGAAGTTATTAACAAGTGGAAACCTAAATTAAAAATGGTAGAAAAGTTAACATGGACATTAAAAATTGGTGGTAAGTATGCTTACCACGGCTTTAGAAAGGGTTAAAACAAAAACAAAAAAAATTAACTTCACCCTTACATTGGTAATCTGAATCACATTTCAAATTAAATATATTAAAATAAGAATCAAGTATAAATGCAAAAATCTTGGTTAAAAAAAAAAAAAAAAAAAAAGAGTTGAAGCAATAAAATAGCTGAAAAAAATACAAAAGCAAATAATTTTTTTCTGCCGAATTATATTCTAAAGAAACTTTTCTTGTTCATCCTAAAGGAAAGAAATACTCCTGATATTTCTGTTCTCATTTCGGAATTTTAAAAAATCGCCAATGACTGGCTTGCTTCAGCTAGAAATTTAAATTAATAAAATGGAAAAAAAAAATTCTGAAGTCACAGAAGTTTAAAAGATAATTCGCTCTAGAAATGATGTTTTTTCTCTCATTTTTTGAAAGAACACCATAATTTTTAAAGAACAGGGTAAAAACATTTTATATTTTAATAAAATATGACTGTGAGTGTGGATTTTATTACAAATTCTGATATTCGGAACACCATGAAATGGGGGTATTTTTAAATTCCGTTTTAAAAATTAGATTTTTTCAGCGGATACCCTGTATATTGTGAATGAAATTTGTACCTGAAAAAGCTAAGATAGCTTTACAAAAAATCCAATACATGCATTTTACAATTTATTCCAAGAAATGATTTTTGTATTTAAAATAAAAAATAATGACTTCTGGATTACTCAAAAATTATATTTTTTTTAAAGCTAACTCAATCTGTAAACATTGAAAAAAATTACCCACTACCAAAGAGCAGAGATGATTGTGCTCCGAAAAAAAAAAATCTGGATTTTTCGCTAGCAGCAATCTGGAAAGCCAAGGTCCAAAAAATCATCGGTCACATATAAAAACGTTCATCTATAAAAATTCTTGCATATTTTATTTAAAAATATTAGAACTAGAATTTATACTTGGCATCTCATATTTATTTCTGGTAATTAGATTTAAATGTTATTCTGGTAATAAATGTGATTAGAGATAAAACTAAACTTATACATAATTAATTTAAATTATGCTGTATATACATTATTTAGAATTTCATGTTGTGAAAATATCAACGATTTAAATATATAAAGACATTAATTTTATAGCAATTAATAATATAATAATATTTGTTATTCATTTCAGATTAGAGCTATGAGGAATTTATTGTTACACCAGTTATCTTTCCGAGTCTCATAGTTTATTTTTCATTTTAGGTTATGTTGTCTGATGTGTGTGTATTGCCTTCTTCAGATCTATTGCTATTTGTATGCATCTGTTAACCACCTTGTGTGATGTTTTGCAATTATGTGACAACTGCAGCAGCATTTTTAATAAACGTCAGACTGAATAACTTTACCATTTTTATCAATCAACTTGTAGTCAATCAGAAATGTTAGCATCTAAAATAACTATCATCATTTTGTAAAATCATCTTGTTTTAAATAAATTGTATCTATCCAAGCGTTCAATGTTGTTTTTAGTATGTATTCCTTTTTTATTATTTATTTATAAAAGTTATGGAACTAATGCTTCTGTCCCCTATGTTGAGGTAAGCAAAATATTGTGTGATCACAATTTGTACATAAGATGATACTGTTGTGTTTTGGTTGACATTTATTTGAAAGGTAAAGTAAGTATATATTTTTAGTAAAAAAAGTATTGTGCAAATAATATTATTGATAAAAGTTACATTTTAAATAAGTTGTTAAGTTTTTCGAATAAACTCACAGGTTGTTTATATAGATCTGTGTTTCCTACTCAACCCTGTCTTTACACAAGTGATGGTAAATTTTTGCTTATCTTATTTGTTTAAACCTTGAACTTTTATTTTTCTTATCAATTTCATTTCCTTTGATAAAAATATTCTTTGTTAATTTATAACTAGTTTTGATAATATTTTGTCTCCTCCCAAGAAATGTTCCAATGAATGATTTTAAGATCTTTTATTTTGAATCATGTTAGGTCCATGTTTCAAACTCATACTTAAGAAGTCTTCTTATCTAGTTGGCCATATTTTCACAAAATCAAGTTTTAAATTTTGGTAGCATGTATTTTCAACTGATAAATAGCTTGTCATAGAACTGAGTTACAAAGAAAATCACAGTACATAGAGAGGAATATAATTTATATGTCACAGGGAAAAACCTAATAATTTCTACTGAAAAAGTTCCTTTCTTCAAAGTTGTCTGTTGAGATGTGTTATGAGGTAATTTCAGTTTGACAAGAATTTTTGATTAGAAAAAAAGCATTATTTTGAAACTTACTAATTAACTACAGTTCCGTAAAAATTTTGATGGAAAGAGCTGTCTGGTTGAACACATATGATAAAGCAAAGTTTTGCTGAAACTTAAGGACTACAATGCTTGAAAATGATGAAGTAGGGTCTAAACTTAGGTTAGTTAAAAAATTCTGGCTTTAAAAAAATTTAAATATTAACAAAACTTATTTTAAATGTTACCTTTTTCTTCATTAATGAATTTATTAATCTAGTATAGAACATTTATTGTATTTTTTTTAAAATAGATAAGAACATGGAATTCTAATACATGGCTCAAAACAATTAAAGGCTATTGTCTTGTAGAAAATATCAGTATAGGCAATTTTTTTTGTGTGCATAAAATGGAAGAAGATAGTCAGGAATACAAATTTTTCTTGTTTTCAAATTTTGAGGCAGCAAATTTAAGTTGGCTTTCAGCTGAATGCAAGTGAAATCTAAAAGGAATGATCAACATTCAGCAAGCGTGTTGTTTCTATAAGTGATATCTTAACTAAGTCATTTAACCAAATTAGAAGTTTGGAGGGTTGTTGGCCAGCCGAAGTAGCAGAAGCCATTGGAGTTTCACAAAGTGTGATTTCCAAGATCTGGAACCGATTTTTGAAGACGAAATGTAGGCCAAAGATCAGGGTAAGGGCGTAAAAGTGCAACAACACCCAATGAAGACAGTTATTTAACACCAACGGCTTGGAGACATTGAAATATGAATGCCAATCTTTTTACACCTTCGCTCGGCAACTGGCACCACAGTTTCGACATAAACTGGCCGAAAGCACTTCACGCTGTAGGTCTTGTGCTAGCCGACCAATGATGTAACAGCAAGGCCCTGTCTCGCCCGCAGGGGTGGGCAACAGAGTATGTGAATTGGAGGAGAAATGAATGAGGTGATATTTTTTTCTCTGTAGTCTTCAGTATTTCTGTTCATCCTGATAAGAGGCATATTTTCATCTGGGGGGAGCATGGCACTAGAAACAATCCAGCGCTTGTGCACAAAAGTGTAAGATTTGACAGTGGGGCAGTGATGGTCTATGCTGGCATCTCCATTGATGGGTGTATTAATCTCCATATCATTCGAAATGGAACTCTGATCGGTCGCCAATATAGGGATGAGATCCTGAGAATTTTTGTCTCTTACGCTGCAGCAATTGTAGACAACTTCAAGTTAATGCACGACAGTTGCAGGCCACATATTGCTAACTTGGTGAATTATTTCTTTTTGGAGGAAGGAATCATACGAATGGATTGGCTAGCATGTTCACCGGACACTAGCCTGTTTGGAATATTCTAGGCAGATGAATTGCTGGGCGCCTACCACTCCCATAAACTCTCTAAGAACTGGAAAGAGCTCTTCTGATGGCGTGGGACAGAATACCCCAGCCCCCGCATTGAAAAACTATTTTTTAAGAAAACACCTCTTTTTATTTGTTCTTCTCATATGCACAAATTGTGTTTTTTTCCTCATGTGCCCAAATACTCAGAATAACGCATTTTTTTCTGGCAAACAAATGTTATTTTTATCTTGTATAGCCTACTACAGCTGTTGATAATGTATCAATCATTCAAACAATTCTCGAGGTGCAAGATCAACCCACAACATCAATATCCTTTATTTTGAGCAGTGTAGCTTTCATATAAATATAGTATGAAACTGAATGATTATTGTTCATTAAAGTAATTAAACTAAATTTGTTTCAGAAATGTAGATTCATAATACTACTGACTGTGTTGCAATAAATATCTGCTTTCTACCAAATGGAGCGCATGCTCTAACCTTATTGGAGACAGTTATTAAAGTGGAAAATATTTTGTTTTTTATTAGATTATAAAAGACTTATTTATTATGAAAATTTATTATTTTTTAAACATTGCAGTGCCCGCCGCTTATTAAAGTCACATATTAGTTTTGAGGATTTAATAAATAATCATTGAAGAAATATTGGTTTTAAAATTCACTAAAAATTAAATCAATTCCTACATTTACACTTGACATTTTGATTTTATGCATAAAGTTTTCAACCAGGTTCTGAAAGGTTTTAAAAAATTAGTGTACTGTTATAAAGAAATTAAAGATTCCAATATCACTTTAAAAGTATAAATGCTGTTGCAATTTTTAGTACTACATTGAATGTCATGGCAGATTTGAATACATTTAAAAATTTTCATTGAGAATTAAATATTTTTCTGTTAGGCATGTTGCCAAATTAAATTTAAAATAAAAGCTTAACTGTACCCTTAACATTTATTTATTGCTGAATTATATTAGAACAAAGGTAAAAAAAAGGTCAAATTTTTTAATGATATACTGGCTTCCTTTTCTTTTTGATTAAATAGTTAACAATGGATATTCTTTAGTTTTTTCTTAGAGAAGACTTGCCAACTCTGGCTTTTGTGTCCAATTTCAGGCCACCAAAATTTATTCTCTGGCTATTTTTTCTTTCTTTTTATAAGAGAATGAATTGGAAGATCCTTGCATACAATTCACAATATTTTTTTCTTCCAGATCAGCAATTGTGTACTGTTGTATTTATTTGATATATAGTTAATTCCTTTTAAGTAGAAATGTCTCATAAACTGCTTTAAACAGTGTATATACGGTTTTCCTTTTTCAGAGTGATATCTAAACTTGTAAGAATATTTTTGAATTTCTCCTTTTTCAAACACTGAGTTTTTTGTTGATATTTTTTCTGTTTGTAATAGTTTCAGAAAAATATGGCAAAGCTCATTCTTTGATATTCTAGAAACGCAGTTTTGGGCTCTACAGCATGAAGACATTTCAGAACTTTATAATTTTGATAGAATCTATACAAAATTGTCTTAAGTCAGTAACAGGAAATGTAATGTCTATAATATGTTGGCCAAGTTAAAAGTTGTCAGTATTAACCACTCCTGTTAGAGAAAATTTTGCTAACATCCAATTCCACATTACAAAAATCAGACTGAATTCTAATTATTTTATCTATACAAACCAAGCATTTGTTTACTAGTAATTCAAATATTGCAAAAAAACTATCTAAATTTAATGTGTGAATTTATTTTAATAATTTGCTTATTACACTATTTCTTAGTCACAAAAAGTTTTCGGCAGTTTGAATTTTAAGAGGTTGTCTGTCATTTAACACATGAAGCCTTCTAAATTAAGTTAAATTAAATCTTCTTAATTCTAATTCCCAAGTAGTGTACTGAACACTGTTGCTTACTTAAATATCTGACAAACAGGAAATAATTATGTATATGCTACACATCTATTAGAACTGTAGAAAAAAGAAAGTTCTTTTTTTGCTTCCATTTCTAAAACATTTTCTCTATTAATATATTTATAGGACCTCTAACTTTAAAATATGTTTAGAAAAATTCATATAGCACCAGTGGATGGCACCTTTTGTTCGTGTAACCATCATAATTACTTTATGTGTTAGAAAGCAACAAAAAAAGGAAGGAAAAAAAATCACATTTTCTAAGTTATTAAAAATGATAATATATTGAATGATATGAATTATACCAATTTTGCATTTCACTCCTCCTTTCAACTGTCAAGTATACTTTGTTGAACATTAGATAGAAATAATACAAAATTGTTCAATTTAATCGGAGGAAAAACGTTTTCTTTGTCAAATTTGACATAATAAAAAAAGTCATTAGTCAGTATAGGTTTTTATTTATTGGACATAAATCATAAAGGTTACTCAATAGACTATATGCAATTTGTATGCTATTTGGCTTGTTTTAAATAAAGCATACACTACATACAGCATGTTGATAGAATTACGTATCCACTGAACTGAATCTGGTCCTATATTGCACTAACACAAAAATCAACATACACATTTATAGTAACTTTAGTAATAAATAATTACTTTTCACTATTCAAAAATGTACACAAGTATGTAAAAATATGTATAAAACATTATATGAGAATACATGTATATAAATGTGCAATTTGGAATAAAAGTTTCTAAACATACAATCATTGAGGGGGAAAAGAAAGATTACAAAGGGAATTTTAACATTAATCTCATACAAAGCAAGTTACCAGATGCAGTTATATCTTGTTTTTAAAACTAGCATTCTTCTCATTTATTTCAGTTATGAACATCCAAAAATTTTATACAATTCACAAAAGGAAAGGACAAGAGATGTTGACGAAAATGTCAATAAAAAATAAAATTCAATATATTAAATGAGAAAGCTAAATAAAAAAATATCACAAGACATGACTTTCCTATACAAGTTAATGAATTGATAAATAACTGTAATGAATAATCAGTTATTTTTTTATAAATTGTATTTAAACCTATGAATTTCTACAACGAAGTATGTTGGTGAAATAAGTTACAGTGCAGGGACATTAATTTTTAATAAGAAATAAATTAGGTAATTTAGACATAAAGTTTTGATTTTTGCACACAATGACAAATGATATTAATGGATTAAAAAATATTAAAATATAAATTTTTGTAATGAAACTGTACAGAACACTCAGAAACACCTTTCAAATGAATACGATAATAAATTTTGTGACACCTAAATGATAAACACTTGTCATCAAAGTATAACTTAAAAACTCTTGTACAAGTTACAGCCATGTCTTAAATAGGAGAGATGGTCTTGTTGTTGGCATTCATCATAATCTCTTAAGAGTTCTTTTCTTTTCCTTCAATAGTTTGAGATTTTTTTTCTCCACTGTCATTTTGTTCTTATCGCCAGCATGCTTTTTGGCAGTGGGGCCATCTCCCTTGGACGCCGAAGATCCAGTGGAGGACTGTGGATCCTCCTCGAGACCTTCTTTAGTAAATTTGGGAGGTCGAGCATGGATTTCCGTTATCATACGGGCTCGCTCACAATAAGTGTCATACTGCTCGAGCAATAATTTACCAGCCTCCTCATTTAATGCAGATTCAGGATTGGGAACAATCAAAAGACACTTTATAGTCTACAAAAAGAAAATTTGTTTTGAATTTTCCTTCTAAAAATAACCAAATAACAAAAGACAACCAAAAAATTTATTTTTAAAAATGAAGAAAAAAAAAAGTAAATGCTTGATACAGTGTTCTCTCTAAGTGTTTTTAAAACGTAATTGTAAATACGTTGTCCTCCCTATTTTTCTAAAGAGGAAGTCCTTTTTTAAAAAAAAAGACCTTTTTTTATTTTAAGAAAAAATTACAGTAGCAAAAACCAGTGATTTCCCAATACCATAACTACTGCAAATTATTTATGTATTACTATAAAATATATATATATATATTTCTATTAAATTACTCTATTTTTTTTTTTCTTTTTTACCTTGCAAAACATTGGTATGTGCCAGAGTGTCTACATTCAACAACTTTACATCTATAAAATAGCCACAAATCAAAATGTTAACAGTTTTACTTCTCATTTATTTCATGGTTAAATGTTATAATTATAAACTTTAATAATTTAATAATAAATTTTGAAATTTTTTTTTATGAATCTCAAGTGATTATTGTAGCCATTTACATAACTGTATGTACTTTAAGTGCATGCTAAGTTAGTTCATCATAAAAAAATATTTAAAAAGTTAGTTATAAGAACTTGTTTTACACTTAGAAACATTTTCTCAGCCTAAAATCACATTCAGTTAATTAATTTTCTTTTATGAACCTATAAAAGTAACAAAATAAAATAATAATCCTAGCATTATTCAAAATAAATACTCTTTTTTTAACAAATAATATTTAATTTTAAAAACACATTTTAAATTATTTTAAAGCTTTATGCACAAAGTTTTCAAGCTATCTGAACAAATTTACTTTCCAAAGTCAAGCAGAATCACTGTGTGCATTGTTTGAATATTTAAATAATTGAAAGCAAAAAGTTTGCTTAAACATAAGTATGCCTGAAAAAGCTTAAAACAAGAATGGATGCTAAGGGCCTCTACACTAATAGTCAGGCACAGAAAAAGGCACTTAGAGCTTTGAAAAGACCTTCACTTGAAACCATAAAGATTTATCAAAATATGTACCTAATAACTGAATTTGATCATCAATTTTTAAATTACCCTTGTGGGGAGAGTAGTTATGGACAATGTCAACCTTCATCTATGAAAAGGTACCCCACCATAGAATCGAATTATCATGTCTTTTATACCAGTTAATTGGAATTATATATTTGTAGTGGTATATACACTACAGTACTCCCTCACCAGAATTATATCTTTCATAGAATTCAATGAAGGGATACCACTAGTAGGTTTGTTGCTGTTTTTGTGAGAGGACGGGAGAGCTGTATTAAGATCGCCATACTTTTTGAGTGCTGATTTCACAATCAGTATGGCGAGTTGTATTAAGTTCATGTCCGAAGGTCACTAATGTGGGGCTAGTAGTTATCGACAATGTCAACCTTCATCTATGAAAAGGTACCCCGCCATAGAATTGAGTTAACATGTCTTTTATACTATTGAATTGAAATTATATATTTGTAAGGTAGATACACTACAACCCTCTTACACTATTTTTTGTGTGTATTTTGAAAACTAATTTTCACTCAATATCAAAATGAGAGAAAAATGCATAGTTTATAAAAAATAATTAAAAGCATCTTAAAAGACAATTACTCTGCAAAATTTTTAAAAAGAGTAAACTAAAGAAGAAATGATAATTGATAAACAACGTGAAGTTTTTTTTTTTTTTTACATAAGATTTTAACTGAAAATGAGACTTAACATGAGATAAGAAAATAACATTCAAAGATGCCTTTTTCCTTATATATTAATATACCCCCGAAAAAAGAGAAATTTGAAAAATTTAAGCAGTTGAGAATAATCCTAACAAAGTATAAATTTGTAATAACAATCAAAATTAAACCTATAAACACGGATAATTTTATCTGTGTGTAATTTTTATTTAAAAAGTAAATTAATTTTCTTTATAATAAAATATGAATAAAAAGGCAGCATTTTTAAGGGATGGTGGCCTATTTTGATAGGATATGGCAAAAAGGGGGTATGGCAGGCCACCCTTCTAAAGCGCTTAGGGAGAACACTATTATAAGAAACAAGTTATAAAATATTTACCAATAAAATATGTTTTAATCCAAGATCACATTTCCAATCTTTTTTCAAGGTGTTGACACAAATTTCTCCATTTCTAGCAACATTAGGGTGGAAAATTTTAGTTACGAAATAGCCCTTTGGAGGTGCTGATGGAAAATCTTTACCCAACACTAGTCTCACACGAAATAAGCCATCAGCATATGGTGTTCCAGCTTTAGTAACAAATATAAGTTAATAGACATATAAAAACATACATAAATATTATACATGCATCGCATAGTTAAATAAATATTACAATTTTCTTTAAAATCAATATTACAAAAATTATAAAGAAAACCATTATTTTCTAAAGTTTTTAAAAAATTACTGAAAGTTTTTAGGGGCGTTGTTTTTATGTTTATTTCAATTTAGTTGTGTCCTGCAGTCAGTAGTGTAATTTGGTGATCGGAATTTTGTTTCTAATAAGCTTTTGTGCATACTATTCTTATGTATTTGTCTTGTTTTTATACTTCTGTATTTGCTTCATGTATTTTATATTTTGTATAGGATTCCTGGATTTTGGCAAAACCTTTGGGGTACAGAGAGCGCAATTTTAGACATTTGTCACGTCCTCTCGATAGAAAAGGTTTTGCTTTTATGACTTCCGGAGCTGGTACCCTCTGAAGAAATCAGCTTCAGTTGTCATATTTATCCATTTTTTCATATTTTATTGTTTCTTTTGTTCCTAGTTACATGTTATTTCCATATGTTACAATAGCTTTAGTATGTCTACTATGCAGCTAACCATGTCATTTAGTATGTCTACTACGTTGCTCAGTATCAATTGAAAGAATAGTTTTGAATTACGGTCTAATTCAAGGAAAACTGAAAAATAAATAGTTTTTTTTTTTCAATTATATTTTTGTTAAACTACCATCATTTTTTTTCTTCTTCTTATAGTTGCATGTTTTAGGGAAAGGACCAGTTAAAATGGGAGTAAATAGAAATTGCTTTTATACATAATGAATAAGATGATTTTTGAGTATTTTTCTTTTATCAAGCTGATTATTTTATATTCTTATTTTAAATAACTTAAGAAATTAATAAATAGGATAAATTTCAAATTTATTCACTTTTACTTATAATTATTCAATATTTTCTACACCAAAATTTGGGTTTTTGACAGTAATTGTCAAAATAAAAAGAGGTTAATTAAAATAATTCAAGAATATAACTGAATGATCACTCGTAATTTGATATTTATATTATGATATTTACGTTTATTTATAAATACTTCATTTTTATAATAGCTAATAATTATCCGTATTCGAAATTTTTGGGGTTTGGCACTTGTAAAAAATTATGACCTATGGTTTTCTGACATGGCAGATAAAACGGTGGTTAAAGAAGAAAAAAAATTAGTTTTTTTTTTAACTGGCAGTCAAAAAGTCTATTAAAATATTATTAATCATTAAAATTTTTTAACAATTATAAAATATTCACCTGGGCCTTCAATTGTAGCTTGAATGTCAGTGATATCTTCTTCATTGATGCAGATTTTGATACCTTCAGGAGGATTAGAAGAGAGCTCCCAAAGTTCTTTGGAAACTTGTCGAATAACTTGAGGAGAAAGATTTTCAACATTGGAGCTCTAAAACACAATATTAAAAAAATATCAGTAACACAGCAGGGTCTGCGATAAGGATCTCAAATTACTAGCCAGTAAATTAGCCAAATATCAAAAGCATAAGTTTAAATTTAAAAAGTCTTAGTCAAAGGCAAATCTTAATTTCTTATGATTTATTTTTTGTATCATCGAAAATTTCAAATCAATATACAAATTAACTATAAATTAACTGTTTTATAAAATGCAAATTTAAATCAATAAATATTTTACAGTTGGGAAGGAATAAATAAGTAACGAATAGGAGAGAGAATGCAAAATTTAGTTGTTTTATAGTCTTACAAGAAAAGAAATAAGAATAGGTGCTAATTCTTGATAACTTCTTAGACTAGCGCAGTAATATAAGGGAAAACCTGAAGTAACATTTGACATTTTTTTTTTCGATTCTGACTATCTTTAAAATTTTAAATAAAACATTTCATTCTTTAAGTCTTATTTTATTGAAAAATAATTTTTACTCTCACACTTATTTTTTTACTGAATTTATTTTAATGAGTGATATAATTTATTAGTTTAATAAATGATATAATATGGCAACAATGCCATATTATCTCATGACAATTGTTATTGTCATGAGAAAACATATTTCCGGCAAAAATAGTTGATTTATGATATGCACACTTATGATATGACACAAATTGTAGAAATGAGTTTTTGATACACAATATTGTGTGATCCAGCAACAATCGTGCTTATCTGTATTTAAGTTTTCTTTTAATTCTTGCATTATCTCTCTTGTCGTTTATAATACAAAGCTGTTGAGCTGTTACATAAATTTTTGAAAAGTCATCATAATTGAAATCCCCCCCCCCTAAATATTTTGTTTTAAAATTTGGAATTATTCTTTCCCTCATCTAGCATAATTTTGTTAATAAATCAGGTTTGAAAAACATTCTTTCATAAAATAAAATTAAATTTTTTATAATCGATTGTTGTTGCTTTTAATTTTATGTAGCTACTCTGCTTTTATTTTCATTCAATTTTGTTCTCATCTTTGTTATTTTGAGCAATATTTCATTTCTCAATTATTCTAGTTATCTTTCTTTCTTTGAAAAAAAATAGAATATTCTAATTGAGAACAAAAAATTTAAATTAATCAGCTTTGCAATTTCGAAACAGTTTGAGACAACAGCTATAACCTTAGCAGCAGGGTTCAATCTAGGCGGGTTTGCATAGCGGGGCACCTCATTTGCCCTTTGAATAAAAAATTCGGCTCCGCATGCCTCATGAATCTGAATATGCGCCTTGGCATATTAAAGGGCAGAGGAACAGCCTATCTGCGCTGATATTTTGGTAAATCCACATGGTTTACTTAAAAGTTTTTCCTCAGAAATAAATAATGTTTCAGAGTTAATATTTTTTTACCAACTGTTTCGCAATGCCTTTTCAAATTCCAATATATTTACAGGAGCTGTCCAGGCTTAATTTACTACCGTTCAGCAGTACCTTAACAAATTCAACTTAAGGAAAAACAGTAGTTTCACAAAATACCTTCTCTAAAAATTTTATTTTTATCCCGTAAGAAAGGATAAATCCATATTTTTGTGCTGATTTTTTAATATAATTTTCACAAATTATATCTACATTTTTACAAAGTAGGTACCTCTCAGAAAACCTAGACAGACCCCTGATTTAGTATATTATTACGATATGTGCATTTTGAACTTAAGCCATCAATTTTTTTAAGCATTCGATTTGTGAATATTCAATCGTAATTTCAAGTCATTTGACGATAATTTTTTCGGCAGTTATTAATCAATTTTTCAACTCTTTACATGTGGTTTTTTAAATTCTGTTATTTTATATACAATGCTATTAAGATGTACAAATTTCAAATTTGAGTATTCATTTTTTGACACATTCGATTCGTGACCATTCTATCCTACTTTCAATGCATTTGATTATGGTTTTTTCGGAAGTTATTTGTCACAGCCCTTTAACACGGCTTTTTAAATTACGATATGTTTAATACGATGTTGTTACTTTTGATGATGTTGTTGAATTTTGTATTTGCGTTATCACTATTTAATACGTTTGACTCATGACGATTCTGTAGCAATTTCATGGCGTTGGTCATGGCTTTTTGGATGTTATTAATCATACTTTTGGCCCTTTTACATGGTTTTTAAAATACCAAAATGTTTAATATGATAGAAATTCGAGTTTGAGTTATCTGAACTAGATATGTTCGATTTGTGACAATTTTATCACAAGTCCTTGAAACTTTTGATAGGTTTTATGGCAGTTGCTTATCACTTTATAGGTCATTCACATGATCTTTTAAATTTCGATATTTTTATACCACGTCATTACATTGTTCGGTTAATGACGATTTCATTATAATTTCTCGTAGTCGGAAAGTTCGTGTCAATTCCATACTAGACAATGTATCAGCACAAACTTTCCGGAAAACCTAATAGCGCTTCAGCAGTTATTAATAATTTTATCATCCTTTTGTATATGTTTCTTATATTTTCGTTTATGATATTTTTATAAGATTTAATGCGACATTCAAATTTCGAACTTGAGTTATTACTTTTTGAAGTCTTCGATTTGCGACTATTCCATCATCATAATTGACATAGTTTCCAACATTCTCCACTTGTTTTTTTATTTATTCTGATACTTTTTACACACTGTTATTACAACAAGCAAGTTTTTCTATTTACTGAGTCACTTCTTGACATGCTCCGTTTAGATTGATTCTACCGTAAATCTTCATAGTTTATGGATTCCCCCCCCCCACAACTGTTTGTCATTTCTTGTCTACTTCGTGGTGATTTTTTCGATTCCAATGAAATACAATGTCATAGTTAACGAATTTCATATTTTAGCAATTATCTCACCCACTTCCTTATGTATTTCGTAAATTCACAATAATTTTCGATTACTTTTTCAGCAGCTGTTACAATTATTGTTTTTTCATTCATTTCTAAATTATTTATAAACTCTTGATATGTTTAATAAATTATTTAGTTAAGATAAAACTAAAAACTTTGTATATTTTAGGTGTCTTAAAAGTTATGCAAATATATATGAATTATGGCCTTTTTAAAGGGGAAATAGTGTCCTTATCAGCTTCTAGTGCCCAGCCCTTTTTAAAATCTAGAATGAACATAGTTAGAAGCATTAAGACAATTACTTCGAACTACTTGGAACTAAGTTTAGAAATCAACTTTTTTTAATGCAGCAGAACTATATGAATGATACAAATTAATAATAATTAACTGTACAGCTTTTAAACAAAATATATTAGTTTTTTCTAGCAAATGACATATAGTTTTATAGAAAATGCCTTATTCATGGAAAATTTAACTTAATTTTAAGGAAACAATTATTCTGATTCAATTTCAAGAACAATTAGGATTAGAATTTAAAAGCAAATAACATTTTATCTTTTTATAGAATAAATACCTAATAGTCATCATAAAATAAATTTAAATGCATGTATTTTCTTATGATGTTAATTTTATAAATTAAACTCTGTCTTTCTCACAGAACACACTGGTCTACTAATAATTTTGAGTAGTTTATTTACCTGGGGTCTGTCTAGGTTTTACTGAGAGGTACCTATTTTGTGAAAATTTAGACATAATATGTGAAAAATTAAAAATGATATTAAAAAACCAACACAAAAACATAGTAAAAATATAGATTTATCGTTTCTTAAGGATAGAAAATTAAAATTTTAAGAAAAAGTACTTTGTGAAACTACCGTTTTTCCTAAAGTTGAATTTGTGAAACAACCGTTTTTCCTAAAATTGAATTTGTGAAGGTACCGCTAAGAGGTAGTAAATTCAACGTGGACAGACCCCTGTTTACATTATTATTGTTGTTAGTTAAATACACAAGCTAGTATCAGTCACTTAATTTCGGTGATACTGACAAACGGATAGTAACATTCAAGAAACAGAGCACGGGAAAGGACAACCTTGAAGAGCATAAGTAATAGCTACAACCAGATAAACCTCTACATTTTTTTGTTTATTTTTTTAAAAGTACAAAAACACTTAAGGGCCTCGGTGATAGTAGTTGTTGTAATCAGGTACGGGGAGATTCCGTATCGTGATCTGTTGGAGATTTATCACCAAGTCTTGGAAACTTCCGGGCAGTGGCTCGCGAGAAACTAAAAAAACATCACAGAAAGGGACCAACTAAAAAGGTATAACTTGTAGCCATCCCTGGGCAAACATTCACATGTTTTTTTTTACATGCTACATGTTTAAAATCTATTTGGCACCTTGGCGATTGTAGTTCGCGTCACAGATCACGATACAAAAATATCCCCTAAGGAAGTATCTCCACAGACTATAAATAAACTAAACTTCAAAAATAAAAAGAGCTATTTTTACAGAAAACAATTTTAAAGAAACAGAAAGATAAAAAAAGAAGTACAAATAGCTGTTATGAAGAGATAAATTCAAGCTTTTTTAATAGGATAATTTTTTGAGCTTATTCCCAGATCATATTAGAAATAGGAATCATAGATAAATGAGAAATAGCTATAGGAAAAAGGATAGTAAAATTATCAGAAGTTCAACCGCCTAGTTAAGAAAGGGGAAACCCTTTAAAAAAAAAAACACTAACTAACATTTTATACTCAGGCAAGTGTTATATGTAACCTATATAACGAAGGTATTGATTCATAAGGCATGAAATTAAAAGAGAGATAAAACAAAGAGTAAAATTTTTTCCCATCTAAAGGGATAATTACAGTAATACAATCTCAACTGCATGAAATCAACAACAAAACAAAATGCCTTAATATAGAAATTTTTGGAACCACCAAAGTTATTTCGTTAACAACAGCTATTTATCTAATAAAATTTCAGTTAATAAACGACAACTAATATAAACAATAAATGGTAAACAAGCTTGTTGAAATGATTTTAAAAAGACATCACTGTCGATTTTACATAAGAGTAATAAGAAACAAAACGTAAGACTGCAATATGAATAAAACAATTATGATTATAATTTAGGAACTTATTTGAAGGATATTTTATGGAAATAATAATTATTTCTTATACTTACTCCCGACATTCTCCAATTTTACCCCAATATTAGTCCAATGCAGTAAAAATATAATATTAAAAACAAATATGAATAAAACTCGTTTATACTAATAAGTTTCCTAAATATGATCTATAATAATCGAATTTTTTTCATTTTTAGTCAAGAAAACTAAAAAACCGTTGAAAATTACTCAATTTCAAATCAGACGTAACAACAAATGAATAGCTGACTATTCTACGATAAAAATTACTTTCTAATCGATTTTGTAATCGATATTTTTCTCTTTTAGCCAACCAAATTGTGGAAGAGCAGATGAGGAGAAGGAAATTTCCTGGTAAGGATGAAAATAGTCAAATTCTTCGCATGAATACTTTCAAAGTTGCTGGAAAATAAATTGAGATTCAATGCCTGATAATTATTCAACTACAGGCAACTCTTCCACCAACTATCAAATGTATAGTACCGAAAGTAGAGCAGAGTTCCGAAAATTTTGATTGTTATAAAGGCTGGCTCTTATAAATTAAACCCAAGGAAAATATATTACAAACACAACCTGAGCTAAAATTTTTCAGATTCAAATCAGCCAAAGTGCTCCAACTAATTTATCAAGTTTTCTGCATATTCAAACAAAATAAAGCGCGTGATGAGTATACTAATGTCACTTTTTCTCATGACATCTGATGAATTCAATTGTACTAACCAGCAGAATTTTCTTACCATGAAATTTTCTGATGTGCAGAAATCCTCCTTTGTCAGTTGCTATGTAAACGCCTCATTGGGACCTGGATCCCTGGCCAAGCAGTATCGCTGGCCATATGCTCTGTAACGTGCAGGTAGCGGGTTCGAAGATTCCTTCCATGAGATTCATATGGCAAGCCTACGAGAAGGAACTTGTAGGCGCACCATGCGAGTTCTTCGTATTCGTATCCCCACGAGTTAGGCATACGAATTTCGAAATTGGCGATCGCAACACTCGAATACGCCATCTGGGGAGAGACCGGTTTCATGCTTTTAGCCCTTCTCCCTTCCCTCTCCTCCTCTTTTCAGTTGTATAGGAATGTACTACGATATTTTCCCTTTTCTTAATATTTTTCCTTTTTACTTAATAAAAATATTTTTAAAAATTTCCATGATACTTTTCTTTAGAACTATGTTTAATGTAGTTTTCAGTTCCATATAGTTTTTCAAGTTGAAAGATTTTAATCTATATGAAAATCAAGAGAGAAACTAACGTACTTCCTTCCTCTATGACTTTCCACAGGCTAATGGGGAAAGCATGTGAAGTGTTGCCATAGATAGAGCATTCTGCTCTACGCCACCTGCAGCCCATTTCGATCGCAAATTTCAGTTCCGCAATGTTTCTTTTGAGCATGAGTTACACGGGTCATTCTCACTGAAAAGGTATAAATAGACTAAAAAATTTTCTTAAATTAAAGTAATTAAAAAAGCGATGAAAATTACATAAATGCCTTTATTTATTTTTGTTATATGTCCTTATAATAATGGTCAAGTTTTCTATTTTATTTTTTACAAGATTTAAAATATTTTAAATTCTGCCTTGTCCACGGAGATGTAATGGTCAACGAAGGAGACATTTTATGTTATAAAATATCAATGAAGACTAATTCGTTAATTATTGGGTACAACTGATATGAGTTTAACATTGATAAATGAATAATAGAATATTTCATTATTAGAGATAGAGCTACTTCTGATTAATCATGCTGCTATGAAAGGGAACATTCACTTTTAACCTAGGTGTACAATTTTTTAAGTAACTCTTACAGAATATTAATAAATTAAAATGTAAAGACTATTGAAATAAAAATTCAGACTCCACATGAAAGTTGAGGGATTCTTTTATGAACATTTCATGCATGTTAAACATACTATCAACCAAATAACGTTTTTGTTTTTTCTCTTTTCTTCTTGTTATTGCTTATTTTTTCCCTGGGCACAAACGGCTTGCTCTATCAATTTCTAGAGTCCCACAGTGGACTGATCGTTAAGACACGGTTCCCAGCAGATCACGAAGTCAAGCATCACTGGCTACGGTCAGTAATCGGGTGGGTGACCACTTATCAGTCTGCGTAGGGACCGAGGGTGTGCGGTATTGGTCCTCGTTAAACTGTGCTACCGTAAAGTGCTCGACTTCGCGCGCAGGTCGTCGGGCTACCAAAGCGGGGGTGCCATCCCTTCCGCAGAGGATCAAAATTGTGATGGCATGTCTTCGGATCATCCTCCGGGATGTTTCCCAGACCGTCGCCAATAGCCCATTGTGCAGCTCTAGTGCGACGTAAAGTAACAACAACAACAACAACATCAATTTCTAGAAATTTAGATACATTTAATCACGATTTTTCTGTTAAATCTTTTTCTGATACAATTTTAAAGTTTCTTGCTCTTTTTTTTTTTCTTCTTTCTTCAAACAATGTAGGGTTTTCTTTTAATTTCTGTTTAGCTTGTCTCATACTAAGTTTTTTCTGCTCCCTTCTCTTTTGCATTTGAACATTTGATTGCTTTCTGTTTTTTCATTTCGGTTTTGCCCTTTTTTTCCTATGAAGAGCAAAAAAATGTTAAACATCACAGAAATTATTTAAAAAAATTACCAATATTTACTTCTCCTATAAGAAAAAGTTAAACTTAATTGATTTTCTTTAAAAATACAAACAAGTTAACACATTTGTTCCAGTTTAAAAAATATCAATTAAAATAATATAGTTTTTTAATTATTCAAATTGTATAATGGTTATCTAGCACATTGTCTCTTCCATTGACTGTGTTTTCTCCTCCGTGGACTTGTTATGTCCACGGAGGAGACAAAAACTAGTTCTTGAATTTTACTGATTTTTAATTTTAAAGTTACAAAATGGGACAGTTCTTTTTATTAAATATACTATTTTTGCAATCTAAAATTCATCTATCAAAAACAAAATAATTTTCTCTTACATTCTTTATGATGTCCACGGAGTATACGGTGAGAACTTTACCAAACCTCAGTTGAACATAACAGTCCAAAGCTGACACCAAAGAGAACAAAAACAACTGATAGTTAACATTAGAAAATGGAATGGTTACCTTTCCCAGCAGCTGTCTTATAGGGATTTCGTGTATGCTGCCCTTTATTGCATATTTACCGAACTATATTAATTGTCCATGGAGGGAGATTTCCTTTTTAATGGACAAAGTTTACTAGTCATTTATTTTATAAAAATAATTTTTTTTAAAAAAAATATTAAATAAAAAGTTACTATAAACATTTAACTAGGTAAAACTACAGAAATCATTAAAATAACATTTAAATTGTTTAACAGCCATTTAAAAATTATTTTGTGTCACAGACGTAGGGACGTCCACGGAGGGGGGTTTGAAGTTATGTTTATTAAAAAATAAGAATGAAATATTAAATACATTTAGCAGAAATGCATATGATTTGTTAGTTAGAACTTTACTAAAAATGATGAAAAAAAATATTAAGAAATCTGCTGTATTTCCTAATATTTATTACTAAGGGACTTAAAAAATCACCTTTTTCTGAGAATGACCCACACACAAAATAAAAATGACTGGGATGTTAAATAATAAAGACTAAATATTTACAAACTACAATATTGTTAAATTTAGATATCTAATATGCTTATTTTTTTAAGTAATCAGTACATATTTTCTAATTGAATTTTTCATTCTCTTTTTATTTTTTAAATTTAACAAAATACATAAAAAAAAAATTATAATGTAATTTTTTTCGTTGCTAAGACTTATTTCAAAATTGCAAGAGCTTCTAAAAAAGCAGTTTATCAGACATTTCTACTTGAAAGGAATTAACTATATATCAAACAATTTAAACTACACAATATTGCTGATCTGGAAAAAAAGTATTGTGAGTTGTGTGCAGTGTGCAAGTATCTTCCAATTCATGCACTTATGAAAAGAAAAAAAAGCCAGATAATAAATTTTGGTGGCTTGAAATTGGCGAGAGGATCAAAATTGTAATGGCATGTCTTCGGGTCATCCTCAGGAATGTTTCCCAGGCCGTCACCAATAGCCCATTGTGGAGCTCTAGTACGACGTAAATGAACTACGACAACTACTAAAACATTTAAAAAAAAGAAGATGAAAAAAACATTTTCTTTAAATTTTTAGCTAAAATTAGTTATTATTCGTTATTTCATTTAAATGAAAAATATAAGATTAAAATTATTGATTGGAAAAATAAGAATTTTATAATACATTGATTTCATTATTTAGCTCCTTCCTTATAAATTAAATGAAAGTAAAGATTTGTTATTAATTGCATATTTCTCTTCTAATGCATGCATCTTGAAAAGCAGAAAAGGAAATGAAGTCTTAAATCAGTAATCAGAACTACCTGTATCATAAATTATTTACTTTATATCTTAAATTTATAAATCATTTTTTGACTTAACCGATAAAAAAAAAATCTTTTTTCTCTTTCTTAATATTTATATTACTATGAAAATAAAGAAGAATGAATTTTATGCAATATTTTCTTAAATTAGTTTATTAGCTAGATATAAACGCCACTAGATGGCAACACAAGTATTATCCTGTTTCTTCAGGAAAATAGGTCTTAGAAAAGCGGGTCTAAACAGTACAAGTGTAAAAGTTGATTAATTCATAAACTTTCTTTTTAAAAAAAAGCAGGATAATGTGATTTTCATAATTATATTAAGAAACTGTATCAGTTTTTACACTTTTAAATATTTTAAGTTATTTTGCTTGAATTGAAATTATGATAAAATTTAAGCTAAGATATTGAAGTCTTTGTTTTTAATTTACGAAACTAGAGGACACCACTACAGCTTCCTACATCATCACCTAGTCTGCTTTTTTTGATTTTAAGAAATGTTTAAGTATTGCGATTTCTCATACATATCAATAAAGTTTAAAGCTTTTAGAGATTTGAGGGACAGGCAATAAATAAGGAACAAAATAGAATTTTTTTAAACATCCTATTCAAAATAATATAGCTATAAGCTAGTAACTGACGGTGATTATTATGGGAAATAACTACAAAATTCTGTTAACCTAGTTTATAGTTTAAGTATTCATGGAGATAGGGGTATTTTTTGAATAAATATTGCTTTAAGAATTTCATTTTTTAATTTTATTAAATATTTTTGCAACTCTAGTAGGAAAACTTAAGTTACTTTTTTATTTCTTATAAAAACGTCCATATCTCCATGAATATATAAGGGTCATTCTCACAAAAAGGTGATTTTTTA